GTTCTTCATCTACACCCTTTCCCCCGGCCCTTACGGTCAATAATATCAAAACCTTCATCCCTATCACGTTAGAAACAGAAAAAGTTCAATACGCTTCATGGGCCGAGTTGTTCAAGATCCATGCCATGGCGTTTCAATTTCTTGATCACATTATCCCACCACGGGATGATTTAGTTAATTCGGCTCTATGGAAACGCCTTGATGCCATTGTACAACAATGGATTTATGGTACGATTTCTTCCGATCTTCTTCAAACTATTTTGGAACCAAATTCTATCGCTCAAAAGGCGTGGATCGTCTTAAGCAATTGTTTCACGACAATCAGCATTCACGAGCCATTCTTCTTCAAAGTCAATTTTCTCGTCTTCATCAGTCCGAGTTTACTTCAGTCTCGGCATATTGTCAACAACTCAAATCTTTGGCCGATCAACTTGCCAATGTCGGCTCTCCGGTTTCCGAAAAGACTTTGGTGTTACAACTTGTTGTAGGGTTATCCGAGGCATATGACGGTGTGGCTACAATTATCCAACAATCTGATCATCTTCCAGATTTTTTCCGTGCTCGTAGTATGCTCACCTTGGAGGAATCACGTAAAGTCAAACAGGTTCCATAACCATCTACATCATCGCCCGTTGTTTTACTCACTCAATCCACATCGGCGATTCCATCCCCGCCGCCCAATCCGTCCTTTTCTTCAATGCAACAACAGCCTGATTGGTTCGGATTCCGGGGGCGTGGCACACGTGGTCGTGGGCGTGGCTATAGGGGCCGCGCGTGGATCCCATGGTCGAGGGTTCTCATATTAGCCACGACCACCATGGTTTTCTCCCCCTCCATGGCAGCAACAACAGTGGTACATACCACCCTTCACATATCCAACGATGGGGTATTCGGCACCACATTGTACTCCACGTCCTCATCCCGGTATGTCTCGTTCATCAGCTCCCCCTTCCGAGCAAGCATATACCGTCGACACTCAATCTCAATTTGCTCCTACGGATATTGAATCGGCCCTTCCCACTATGACGCTCAACCCACCGGATCATCAGTGGTATATGGATATTGGCGCCTCGTCTCATATGACCTCGGACCAAGGTACTCTCTCTACCCGTAGTAATAATTCTTTTGCTCATCATATAATTGTTGGGAATGGTGATTCTCTACCAATTAAGGGTTCCGGTATGACATCTCTTCCACCCCCGTTTCCTCCGTTTAAACTTACAAATATTCTACATGTTCCTAAAATTATCAAAAATCTTGTGTATGTCCGTCAATTTACACGTGATAATTCTGTTTCCATTGAATTTGATCTGTTTGGTTTTTCCGTTAAGGATCTTGTGCAGGGCACCAAACTTCTCCGATGTGATAGCGATGGTCCACTTTATCCTCTTCTTCCAACTACATCATCGACTTCATTCCCGTCTCCATCAGCTTTTGCAGTCACGTCTCCTTCACTTTGGCATAATCGTCTGGGTCATCCGGGCGATCAAGTTTTACATAGTTTTGTTTCTAGTCGTTTAATTTCTAGCATAGGAAAAATTAATTCTGGTGTTTGCCATTCGTGTCAGTTGGGTAAACACAATGCATTATCATTTGGTTTGTCTTTTTCCCAGACAACTATGCCATTTGAAATAATACATAGTGCATTTGGACGTCTCCGGTTTTGAGTACTAGTGGTCATCGCTATTATTTGCTTTTTCTTGATGATTATACGAACTTCATGTGGACTTTCCCATTGGCAAATAAGTCTCAAACCTTTATAATGTTTCAACAATTTTACGTATATATTCGAACACAATTCGAGACATCTATAAAACAATTCCAATGTGACAATGGGAAAGAATATAACAATTCACAATTTCTCCAATTTTGCTCTAACAAAGGCATTCATATTCGTTTTTCATGTCTATACACATCTCCCCAAAATGGAAAAGCGGAACGAAAACTTCAAACCTTAAATAAAGCCACCCGCACCTTGTTACTTCATAAATACAGGTTAAAAGTACCTTACAATTTTTACATACATTAACATGCAATGGTAATCTTGACAGCCTTAACAGACTTTAACACATAGTGACACATCTTAACATCTATTACCACATAGTACCCATGAATATTAACATACTTTAACTTAAGTTAGCATACATTTGCCCAATAATGTTAACATATGTTAACTAGCGTCGTTGATGCAAATGATTGATCGTCCCTCCATCAATAAATGCAGCATTCACAAGAGCACAGATCAATTCATTGCTCTTTTGATTAACGGCCCTTGGGTGGTTTCAACTGATCCTATGGATTTTGAAATTCCTACTTGAATCCAACCCTTTCTAACTACCGTAATTATAATTCAGGGTAAATTACTTTTTTGTCACCTTGGTTTGTTAAAATTACGATTTTTGTCCCTGTCATTTGGAAAATGTGTTTTTCGTCCCTATGATTTGTAATTTATTGTTGTTTTCGTCCTTATGATTTACAGTTTATAGTTGTTTCGGTCCCTATGGCTTACAATTCTTTATTGTTTTGACCCCTTGTACTTAAAGATATGAACTAGTTCAGGGACGAAAATTACAATAAATTGCAAGCCATATGAACGAAAATTGAAATTATTAACAAACCACAAAGATGAAAATAATAATTTACTCTATAATTTATTATAAACAAAAATTATATATTCTTATTGAAGAAGAAGAAACCATAGACTATATTACCTAATGCTAATATCCAATTGTCCTCCGAGAAGATCTCTACTACATTTTCCGAGAGCAAACCAACATTGTGCTGGTATGTGTCTTTGGAGGCGGGTTCTGTGAGGAACCAGTTGGGTTGTCCGTAATTAAATTTGTATCTAAATATGATGATTTGGGTAGGGGCACAACGACAAAATTGGTTTTATAGTACTCCTAAAATGTCTAAGCGTACTAATAAAATATTTTGCAGGACTCAAGTTTATAGCAATAAATCATAAATCATCTCAAGTAAAAGTGTTACAATAGGTTTATAAGATGTTTTTACGCATTTTGGCAATTTTTTTAGCATGCTTTTAAAATAAAATTGTCATATCAGTTATTCTATACGACACTATTTGGAAAAAGTGTTCATGTAAACGTAGGTGTCTTATAAAAAGATGGGTTTATAGGACCGCCTATTCCTAATCCTAAATGGAATGTAATGACGTAGGGACATTTTTTGGTCCGTATTAGGTTTAGGTTCAGTCTTAATATTTTTTTTAATTTTACAAAACAATCTATATTGATTGACTGCCTCCATTATGTTGTTGCTAACAAATACCACTATTTTATTTCTTAAAAATGTCTTCTAAAATAGCTAATAGGACACTTTATTTAAAAAATGTTCCAAAAAACTTGTTCAAATGCCTAGAAGTGTCATATAAACCTATTGTAACGTTGTTTGATATAGTTTTGTCCAATAAAACTTAAGTTTTATATCGTAAAACTTAAATTTTGTTGTAGTGGGGGTTCGTGGGATTCCCCTTGTGCTAATCTATATAAATGCCGATGAGACCAACATTATCATAAGAGAGAGGGGGAGCCATGAACGACAATCTCATAAGTTATGTCCCTGTCTAAACAACACGAAGGTGAAGTCAATGATCATGAAGTCAGCAATTCAATTACCATGCCTTTGAGGACCTATAACAAGATCTCGATCCACGAATCTACAACAAGCGTTAATCAATGATCTACAAGGCTTAGTGAATTGAATTAGTGAAAGTTTACAAGGACATGAAAGTTTGGAGCAAATAAAGACTAAGGGGCCGCTTTCTAAACGCTTGCTTGGTAAGTGCTTATTGGATAAATTTCCTCATCGGATGAACATGACAAGGGTCAAGAATCTTACCGAGTAAGAGCAATGAGAAGATTAGAGAGTCTTACTCGGTAAGTGAAGATGACGACTCTTACCCAGGTAAGTGCTTACCCGGTAAATTGTTGCATTCGATACGTTTTGATGTACTAAAATCTTACGCATCAAAGTAAATTATAGTGTTGACTCCTATAGATAAGCAATTACTGGGTAAACAGCTTCTAAGTTCAATACAACTTAATTCAAGTTCAAGTCACTAAATAGCTCAATTAAGCATCTAATATTATTGAAAAAGTGTTGGGGGTTCTCAAACTTATTCTTGAAGGTTCCATATTAGCAGGTGGGACAATAATGTGAATTTGAAATCATTATAAAGATGGATCATTCTATTTTTTATGCATTTCTTAAATATTTGAGAAGTAAAGAAGTGATACTAGCCCTCCATACGATCAATATTGGATTTGACTGGTCAAGAATTGCGGTTTTGAATGGTCGAAATTTACGGCTATGTGAAAAATAGAGGGATAGTTTCGTAACTTTTACAAATAGGCGACAAACGGGTTCATATGTGAACCCGTATGATTCACATATGAACTGAACTATATGTTCATATGTGAACCCGTGCAATTCACATATAAACTATTTTAACTTATTCACATGTGAATTCGTGTGGTTTACATATGAAATCCTTTGAATTCCGTGAACCAAACAACTCCCAAGTGTACGTTGTTCAAAATCTTTGTGATAAGAGGTTATGAGTCTTACTTGAAGTTGTGGTCTAGAGCCTATGGACCTTACGTCCAGAGCTTCTGAACTATAAGTTGTTTAATAAGGCCAGTGAATAGAGCCTCTGACTGTGGATCTCTTGGCTTTATGCTTCTGATTTATTGTTTCGGAAATTAGTTGTAACCATTGCTAAGTCTTATATGTTAACGGTTGTAACTGTTATGCATTAACATATTAACCTCCAAACTGCTTATAACCGTTGATTTCTCTTATTTTATAGAGATTGAAATTTTATAAGAAATGCTTGGTTTTTGAAAATATTAAGCCATAGAAAAGCAAAAAAGATATAACATATTATATATTTAGCCATATATGAAAGATGCAAAATGCGTTTATAACAACAACATTTCAAATATTGTGCTCGTTTCGTATAAGTTCATAACCAGAGCCTAATTACTTGGAGCATCCGCCAATAATCCCACCACATATGGTGCACTGGTTGGTCCGTCAAGAGTTACTGATGGGTAATTAGAACAAATGATCTGGAGGATTGGAGGAAAGAACGGGTTGAAAGGGAATATTTTAGGCCAACACCCAGAATTCATGCTTGTTGCAGCTTTGCAACAAGTCGGCCCGATACTAACATCAACTCTGCCGGTTCGTGCAGCCCTGGAAAGATCACCGTAGCAAAACCCAAGATCAAATAACGCCGACCAACATTGCATAATCGATGCCTTTTGCGATATGGAGGATGGTCCTTGGGATAGCCCTTGTGAGGTAAAAGAGGCCAAGCATAATATGACAAATAGAACTCTAGAGCTCCAAGCCATGCCGGTGTTCATGGCTTCAAATGTGCGGTGGTTGATTTATAGACTATCTGAATCGATATTTTGTTGTCAATAAATTCTTGTTAGTGTTGACTTTGTATTTAGTCAAATGTATTAAATATGAAAAATATAGAAATAAAATTAATTGAATTGTTTATTTGGAGAAAAGCAAACACAATTAATTGAATTCAATTAAAAGCAGGATTCTTTTCCAATTTGATACGATTTTAATTGATTGTTTTATTTTCAACTTATTAAATATGGAAATATATAGAAATAAAATTAATTGAATTGTTTAGTTGGAAAAAGCAAACAATTAATTAAAAACGATTATGTAATTCTTGAAGAACAAATAATGTTTCCATTTTGATAAGTTACCATTTTTTTAATTTATTAGTTTATTCTGATGTGGTACCGGTAATGTAGAGTTTTTAATGTTTGGATAAAAAAAGAAAAAGAAATATTTGTCAGCTTATTACGTTTTGGTATCGTAATAAGCTTATCCAAACACTATTTATAAAACTCCGATTTGGCACTATATAAGTTGATAAGCACTTTTACCAAAAGGGAAATGTCCAAAAAAAATCAACAAACTTTTTCATTTTGAATGGTTTAGTTCTTAAACTATTTTTTTGAATGAAAACACTATTAAACTTTCTTATTTTGAATAATAAAGTCCTGGGCTATTTTTTTTGAATTAAAAAAAATAAACTTTCACATTTTGAATGATTAAGACACTGAATTTTTTTTAAATAAATAAATCATCGAACTTTTGGTTAATGTAACTTTTTTGGGTTACAATGATGTAGATAACCAATTTTTGAAAGTGCAATGATTTATTTATTAAAAATTGTCCAATGACTTAATAAATCAAAATGAGAAAGTTAAATGGTTTTTTGTTAGGTCAAAAATATTGTATATGAGATCAAAGAAAGTCAAAGTTATTTACCATTATCAAAAGTCAATGTTTAATTAGAGCTTAATTGTAATTTGACTTTATACTTAGTCAAGAGTATAATACATTGTTAATGGTAGTTAGTAGTTAAGAACTTGTAAGTGCTTTCATAGAGAGTCATTCTAGAAGTTAGAGAGAGAAACTATTGTAGAGTGAGAAAATATATCAATATACATGATCGTTTGATCTTTGTTATTGTTCTTATTGTTTAATTCATTTTTACTTGGTTATTATATGATTAACAATTGGTATCAGAGCAAATTCAATTTGATTTGATGAAGATATTAAGAAACTTTACGAGGTTTTTGGTTTCTTGAAAAAGTTGATTGTTCTTGATCATCTGAATTTGATGATTTTTTTAGGTTTTTTGATTGATTTGTGTTTAGAGTCTTCATTAATGTTAACTTTGCATCAAAATCGAGTACTATAATTAAGGTTTAATTGTGTTTTGATGAGTTTTTAATTTTCAGAATCGAACACGCTGACTTTTGAAGAAGATGATGAAGTTTATCGCATGTTCTTGAAGTTAATCGCATGTTCTTCAGATATATCACATAATGGTGTGTGATAATTGATATTGCTGAAGTATATCGCATCATATTGTGTGGTATATTGAGGTCATTGCACAAAGAAGGGCACGATACTTGGTTTTATCGCACAAGACTCGTGCGATAAGTTACTGTTGATAGCAAGTTTGTGCTATAAACGTTGGGTAGTTTTGTGCGATATCATTATTAGTTTCGTGTGATGTATATGTTTATCGTACATAATAAGATGTGTTGGTTGTGTTGTATATGTGATTCAGTGGTGTGCGATATATTACTTTTTCAAATCTTCTGATAATCATTTTGATTAACAATCATTTGGTCATGTAATAAGTGTTCCTATTTTTAGTGTATTCAAGAACTGATTTGTTGTTTTTATTTTTTATAGGATTATAAGATGTCTAAAGAACATAGTATAATTAAACTAGATACTCCTGAAGGTCAATACTATATGGTATGAGCAGAGACAACTATAAAGCTTAATAATTTACAGGAGAAGTACAAAGTTTTGGAAAATGAAAATCTTCAGCTTAAGAAAAAGATCTCTGAGTTTGAAAAGAAATAATATTCTGAGAGAAAAGATTCTAATTATGAAAAGAAAAGTGTTGAGTACTCCAAAAAAATATGAACTTGAAAAGGTTCTAGATAATGAGAAAAACAAATTTGAGCTTGAAAGCAAAATCAAATTTTGTGAGATGACGACTGTGAAATTTTCAACAAGTTTCTGACTTTGAGAAGGTGGTTGTATTTGAAAGAAGTAAGTTTGAAAAATGAAAGAAAAAAATTCGAGAAGAAAAGTTTGGAGCTTACCAAGCAAATTTTGTAATCTTCAGAAAATGCTAGAAGATGAAAGAAAGGGTTTTGCAAGTGAAAGAAGATTTTAAGTGAGAAAATGAATGTTGGATTCTTTAAAGATATATCTGACAAAAGAAAAAAGTTGGAAATTGACTTTTAGAATGAGCGGAAAGTTTTTGAACAGGAAATTTTGGAGCTTTCAAAGAAATTATCCTTATTAGAAACAGATCTTGTGTCTGAGCAGAGTTTGAGATCTGATTTACAAAAGAAGTTTGATTTGGTTTTGGAGAAAGAAATATTTTATCTGATAAAGTCAAAGAACTTGAACAAATAGTTTTCAAAAATAATCAAATAATCAAAGAGAATTCAAAAAAAGTTGTATCTTCTGAACAGATTAGTCCCGAACTACTGTTCTTTCACCGTATAAAGATTCAATTGATATTGATTATGTGTTCTCTTATAAAACTGCTTCAAGCTCAATTCATAAAATTGATCCATTTTCTCCAAGCTATGTTTGTAAGAATAACTATTCTTAAAGTGTCAAATCAAACAGCTATTCTAACAGATACTCCAAAATCAAATATTTTTTCAAGATATCAGACTCATAATTTTAATCAGTTTCACAATGATTCTGTTGATAGTTCAGGTAATCATTCTAGACAGGTGAAAATGGTTTGGAGAAGAAAATCAACTACATAGGACAATGCTGGAAATAAGCCACATCAATCTCATGTAGTTGATACAAAGTCATTTGTTTCCAGGACTGATTTGTCTTATTTTGTCAGGTCTATAAGTCAGATGGTCAGTCTGAGCCAAAAGAAAATTTGTCGTTCAACGGGAAGAACAAATGATTTTAAAATCAAAGGTCTGTGAATAAATGGTACGGTATTTATAGTATCTCTGACTCTCAGTTTAACAGCTTCAATGCTAAAGCATCTAACCTCCAAGGATCCAATAAAGCTTGGGTACCAAAAAAGTTCGAACATATTCAGAATATTTATACCACATGACTGATCAATCAAAAGGTCATGTTACTGTTGCGGAGGAGTACCACATTTTGTAAGTGAATGAATTTTAATGTTCAAAAGGATCATGGTATTTCAATCCAAGAAACTTACTTGTGTTTGTTTTTTTTCCGATTTGAAATCAATCATTGGATTGCCATATGTTTAATTATTTTGACTTAGTTATTTCCATGTCTCATATATTCATTGAAATTTTCGGTGGAAATACACTCGCTTGAATTCTCATTGCTTATATTCAATTCGTTTCATATCAATGATTCAATTCTTATTCATATTATTAATTGTGACTTGTTCTTCACATTAAACATTTTAATTATTGAATATTTGTTTGTAAACACCGTGCATAATGAGTCATTCTGTTTAACTTTTGTACTTGTTCTTTGACAATTCTAAATAGATACTTCCATGTGTTAGCTTCCTAGCATATCAGCTATGAACGTGTACTTCATTTGTTTGACTTCTGAACATATTAATTGTACCTCTATGGACTATAAGAACCAGTAGCCCTGCCCAAAAAGTAATTCTTGAGTGATTAAGATGAGAGGTGTCTTAGATAAAAGAGTGGAGGAGATAACTCATACAGTTGAGAAATATCATTGCGCTGAGTGGAAAAATGTAAACGAGAGTTTGGTTAGAAGGGAGAATTACTAAAAATCAGAGGGTGTGAGAACAAAGTTAAAAGAATAACAAAACTCTGCACCAACTATTTCTAAGTCGGGTAACCACATCTACTAATTGGTTCACAATTCTTTCTTGACCTTCATTGAAAAGGGCAGTGAGACCATGCCAACTCTTGCTTTAAACCCACCAGCACTCATCTCTTTCTCAACAAAGTGATGTTTAAATCTGGAACGCGACATATAAATTATCTAGTTTTTATTTGGAAAACTTGGTATTGAAAAAGAAGAAAGCTTGCCCCACATTCGAACTTCGTTTCATTGCACATAGAGTCTATATTGAGCCATATCTTAATGATAATATCTTCTTTGACACTTTCATGAGTTTTTGTGATTCCAATGTATTTTCTTTGTGATTATGTCGGAACAATTTGAGAAATTAGTTTTTATAACTTTACTTCAGTGATAACTGGAACTCCTATCAGATATTCATAACTATGAAAATAGGCCACTCAATTGAATTTATTTCGATCGCGGTGATAACAGTTACTAAATGGGTTTTGTTTGTTAGACGACTACCCATTTTCCGAGGGGGAGAGAAATTTATTTGAAAGTGTTGTTGTTCATAGGGGGAAAATTTCAGTCTATGATACTCAGGATTCTCCTAGTTATCATGAGGGGGAGAAATAATATTATCGAAGACATTATGTAAAGACATGAAGAACTTGAAGAGAAAATGTTATGGGAAATAAATAACATTGAATTCAAAGACATGTGAAGCAAGTGATGATGTCAAGTGGGAGCTTATAAATATTCATATTCATATTCATATGTGTAAAGGCAGTTAAAGAATTCAAGTGGATGATTAACTGGTATATTGTTGAATTAGTTCATGGAAAAAAAGGATTGTTTCTAATCTATTGAATCTAAGGTTGAAAAGCCTTTGGATTCAAATATTGTAGATGTGATGAAGAGATTGGTGCTAAATTGTTGAGATTCATTGTTGATTTATCTGTGAAACATTCTTTGGTTGATTGAATCAGAGTTGTTTGAAGAAAGTTGTTGACAAAAGTGGATT